TTTCACTGCTGACTCCGGTGACAGGAGAAAATGGTTGTTTGCTCGGCCTACTTCTCTCATGACGAAAGGAAGGCAGTGCTGCCTGCACCGGTGATAAAACTGGCAGAATACAGCCAAGAGAAACGGCTTCCCCTGATCATGGAATGTGACGCTAACGCGCATCACATTGTGTGGGGAAGCTCAAACACCAATGAAAGAGGAATGAAAGTTTGGAGTTCCTAGCATTCACGGATCTGGAGATTCTCAACACAGGAGACAAACCCACCTTCTGCACTATAGCGAGAAGAGAAGTGCTCGACATCACTGTCTGTTCCAGGCAGTTGTTACAGGAGGTAGTGGAATGGAGGGTCTCGACGGAGCCCTCGCTCTCAGACCACAGGCAGATCACTTTCAGGATAGCTAAGGCTAGGGGGAAGGAGGTCAAATTCAGGAACCCGAGGAGAACCAAGTGGGACTCTTATAAGGAAGACGTGGTCAGCAGTCTCAGAGGCTTCCCTAAGAGGCACGGGACAGAAGACGAACTGGAGACCTGTGTGGACTACTTGCAGAGATCTTTGGTAAACTGCTACGAAGGTAATTGACCCGAAAGGGCGGCTACAAATAGTAGAGGAACTTCCTGGTGGACCCCTGGACTGCAGGGTCTCAGAGTGGCGGCTCGCAAGGCCTGGAATAGAACTAAGAACACGGGTCGTCAATCCGACTGGGAGCTCTCTAAGAGAGCACAGAAAGAGTATAGAGACTCTGTGGTTAGGGCGAAACAGGAAAGCTGGAGGAAGTTTTGCGAGGAAGTGGAGGGAATGCCCGAAACGGCAAGAATCTGCAGGATCCTCGCTAGGAATCCGGATGCGACCCTAGAAGCCATCGCACTCCCTGATGGGACGGTGGTGACTGGAGAGCGATGTCTGGTGCATCTACTGGAAGTGAGCTTTCCGGGCTTCCATAAGGAGCCGGGCTCACTCAGAAGAGCCCGACAACCGGATTAGCAAATGGCGGCCAAGATTGTCATGCCCGAGAAGGTCAAATGGGCAAATAACACCTTTAAGCCCTACAAGTCAGTGGGACCGGATGGCATCTTTCCGGCTCTTCTACAAGAGGGACTGGAACAGATCGTGGGCCCACTGACTCGAACCTTAAGAGCATGCATCGCGCTGGGCTACACACCCAGCGCATGGAAACTGGCCAGGGTAGTATTCATCCCAAAGGCAGGAAGAACGAGCTACACTAAGGCAAAGGATTTCAGGCCAATTAGCCTAACAATGTCCTTAAGACATTGGAGAAGCTGGTGGATGCGTATCTGAGGAAGACTACTCTGTGGAGGCATCCTCTCCATAGAGGTCAGCACGCGTACCGTCCGGGCTATTCCACCGAGACTGCTCTACATCAGACGGTAGCGTTTATTAAGGAGCAGCTGGAAAGAAAGGGCTACGCAGTGGGTGCTTTCTTGGATATAGAGGGCGCTTTTAACAACACACCGCACGAGGTAGTGTGTGAGAAAGCCACCAGAAGAGGTGTCCCAATGAAGCTCGTCGAGTGGATCCGGGGCATGCTAGGAAAGCGTGTGATGACTTCGCTAGGAACTAAGAAAGTTTGTGGTTGGGTGGGAAGAAGCTGCAGGGTGGAGTACTCTTCCCACTTTTATGGTGCCTGGTAGCAAACAGATTATTAAAGGCACTGGACGATAAGGACACTGCACAAGGCTACGCGGATAACGTGGCAATACTTGTGCGAGGCCCCTTTCTAGAGACGCTTCTAGAGCTCATTCAGGAGGCACTGGAAGTCGTAAAAAAGTGGTGTCAGAGGACGGGTTTAACAGTGAATTCACTGAAAACCGGTCTTACTGTCTTCACTCGCAAATACAAATAAGCACCATTGTGGGACCCACTCTTGGAGGAGTAAGGTTAGTTCCGACCGAATCAGTGAAATATCTCAGAGTTATCCTGG